GCCGCCCGGGCCCGGCCGGCCGCGCCGGGGGCCGCCGCGCTCGTCCGCCTCCCGCCGCGAGGTCGCCGCAGACATGGACACCAAACATTTCCTGCCGCTCGGTGAGTGATCGCGGGCGGCGGCGGGGGCGGCGGCGGCGGGGCGCGTTCCTGGCGCGCGCGGGGGCCCCGGCTAGCCCCGCTCCCCCAGCCGGCCCGCGCGGAGTTGGGGCGCCGGGCGGGAGCGGGTGGGCCGGGCAACTTTTACCCGGGCCGGCCGGGCTGGGAGGGGTCGAGGGCGGCTGGCGGCCCCCCGGCCCGCGCCGGGCCGCCGACTTGGTGGCGGAGCGGGAGTGGGCAGCGGGCGGGCGGCGGGGCCGGAGGGGCAGCCGGTCGGCTGGAAGGGGGGGGGGGCTCCTGGCCCCTCCTGGCAGCGGCCCGCGACCCCCGCCCGGGCGCCCAGCTCCAGCGGGGCGGCGCAACTTGTGCGCTCCTAGCATTCAGCCGCCCTGGCATCGGGACGGCCTCTGCGCCGCCGCCTGGGCTGCCGAGTCCAGCAGGCCGCCGGCCCTGGAACACTCCGGACTCCTCCTCCCCCAGAGCAGCCCGGGCGCGGGTGGGCAGGGTCGCCAAGGGGCCGTAGACCGGGAACATCAAACCTGGGGCCCCATTCCAGAAATGGGGCCCCTCACTCTGGCGCACCAGAGTGTTCTCCGGGCGTTCTCTGGAGCTGGCCCTGCACTTGGGGTGGACACCCTAGAGGCACGGAGGGCCGGTTTTCCTGTTCTCCCACTGCCATCCCACCCAGTGGCTTCCCTGCCCCGGACTGCTCTCCAGTTCAAGGCCTGGACCCACGGAGGAGGAGGAGGGGGCATGGCCAGGTGCCCCGAGCCGTCGTCCTCCCTAGGGTTTGGGAGCCAGTGAGAGGCCGGGAAGGGGGGAGGGGGTGGGGAGACTTTATAAATGAGCCCGGGAAGGATATTAATTTGGTGGTGGGGCCGGCAGCTAGGCTGTCAGTCTGGGTGAAGGATTTGTGCTGAATGGAAATTAGAGCAGCTGATTATGAATGAAACCCGCGGTCTATTGCCCCTCCTGCCTGCCCACCCTCCTGCAGCCCGGGGTGCAGTTTGGCCACCGGCTTGGCTGCCAGAACTCAGCACAGCTGCAGGGACGTTTGGTGAGACGGGGAGCTGGAGGGGAGCCGCGTGGAGCTGGCCCCCCTCACCGGGATGTCTGGGCGAGGGTCTGAGCACTGGGCGCCGGCTCACAGAGGGGCATATGGCAGGGTGACGGGGGCAGGGTTCCGAGTTTGTCAAGGCTAAGACTCCTTCCCTGACTCTGTACAGCGAAGACCTCTGCAGGCACCAGGCTGAGCACCCTCCTTCCTCCCCAGAGCCCCCAGGGTGGGTGCTTATGCCCATTTTGCAGATGAGAAACCTGGGTGAGAGCAACTGAGGCCACAGGCTACAAAGTGATGGATTTTGGATTTGAACCCCCAGCCCGTGGTGAGCGTGTGTGTGTGTGTGTGTGTGTGTGTGTGTGTGTGTGTGTGTAGCAGGATTGAAAGCTGAGTTGTTTGACTTGCCATTGCCGGGCCTGGCGTGGGCCTGGCGGGGCCCCGTGGAGGCCGACAGCCTCTCCTGTCCCCCGTTAAAGCTTTGCACACGTGTGTGCACATACAGAGCGTCCCTCTGGACCAAGAATGCTCAGCTCTGCCTTTGCTCCCCTCCTGGCCCCCGCGATGAGGCAGGGCCACGGCTGGGTACCTGGAGCGGGACAGGTCCCAGTGTCTGACATCCTGGGAGGGCCCTGGGAGTCAGCACACATAGGGTCCAGGCTGTAGGGTCGCTGTGCCGGAGTTCCTGTGAAGAGGAAAGGTCGTGCCCCAGGAACCTGGGTAGGTGTTGTGTTCCTCCTCGCACCTTTCCCCCTCCCCTGCACCCCGCCGCCCCCCGCTGCTGCAAGTTGGCTGGCTGGGGGAGCTTCTCTCCTTGACTCAGCCTGTGGCCTCCCAGGCAGCTCGTGCCCCAGGCCTGAGTGGAGAGCCCTGGGCTCTGATTACACTTTAGTTTTTTCTAAGCTTGTGAGCAGCTCTGAAGTCCGGTGGAGTTGAAGGTCCATTTAAGCGGCTACTTGCCTAAGCCCTTTTGTCAACACGGCCTAATTCCTCGTTGGGGGTCAGTATCAGGAGGCCCGGCTTGTCCAGGCGCGGCTGGCGACCCAGGGCGGACCTGGAGCTGCTGGGCAGGTGGCGTTGCCCCATACGGCTGTCCGGCCGCTTTCGGGGCCTTGGGCAGAGGGCCTGCTCCTTGCAGCACCCATCGCCTGGGTCTCGGTGGGCTTGGGCACTTGCTGTCACCCGCCCGGGAGTCTCCCAGCTGCTGAGCCTTTCAGTGGGACGGGGCGGGGATGAGCCCAAGGTACAGATCTGGAGGCCAAGGAACGTGCCCAAGGCAGCCCCTGCTCCCTGCCCCTGCTGCCACTGCCCAGGGTGGACCAGTGCCCGTGCCCGTCGGGGGGAGACGTGCGCTGGCATCAGGCTGGACAGTGGGACTGGAAGGCTGAGTCCGCAGTGTCCCAAGGTCTCAGACCCCAGAGCCCTGGCTGCTAGTAGCCCCTTTGCCCGGGGAAGGGTGGGGGGCAGTAGCAGAGCAGGAGGTCCACTGGTCACCCTCTGGGCAGCCCTTGGGGACCTGGGAGAGCTTGGAGCCCCGGTAAGGGGCATCTGGTAACATCAGAGCCCTCGGGACCCAAAATAGAGCACATTCCGGGGCCTCCCGAAATAACAGGGTCATGTGTCTCTCTGGAGGCTGGGCTTGGAGGCTGGGCTTGGAGTCCGGCCTGCGAGGCAGTCCTGTCTTGGCCTGGGCACTGCTGACTGTTGGGGCGTTTGTTTTGGTAAACCCTGGAGGGGGCTCTGTTTGTTGACGGGGGAAGTGTCAGGGTGAGAAAAACAGCCCTCAGATGGGTGTGGCCGTGGCCGTGGCCTTGCTGGCCTGCATCCTTGCCTGGGCTTGGTCGCCTGTCTGCTGTGCCTGGGCCCAGCGTGTAGCCCTGACCCGCTCTGCCCGAACATGGGTGGGGTGAGCTGGGGACCCCCGGGAGGAGCCACGGAGGGCGTGCGGGCGGGCAGCGCTGAGCTGGGGTTTGGCAGACTTGAGCGGGCAGCCCTGCTCGCCCCGGGGCAGCTGCTGGGGGCCTGATCCCAGCTCCACCAGCTCTTCCAGCTGTGCCTGTCCTTCCGGGCCTGCGGGGAGCTGGGCCTCCTCCAGGAGGCCCTCTGCCTGCCTTTCCCTGGCCCCTGCCCCACCCCCTCTGTGCCTCTGTGGGCGGGTTTCGGTTGGTGGTCCTTGTCTCCCGTTCCGGGGGCTGGTGGTGGGATTACTGTGTGGTACAGAATGGGGCTGGTGTGGGTACCACGGGCTCTGGCATCAGGAGAGGGGCCCCTCGGTGAGCCAAGGGGGGACAGACAGCGGCTGCACAGGAGGTGGTGTGGGGTCGGGGGGAGGCCCCAAGCGCCTGCCCAGAGCCGGTGGAAGCTGCCTCCGGACTTTCATTTTCTTGGCTCGCCCGGGCTCTCTCCACAGTTGGTGTGTTTCCACGGTAGGCGGTGGTCTCGAGTAAGGCCCGTCCTCCAGGAGAAGAGGGCTCCTGGGCCCGACTCAGTTGCTGTCCATAGGACAGAGCAGAGGCCACTGAATTGGCTCAGGACAAGACGTGATCCACCTTCCCTTTTCACCCACCCCTAGTCTGTCACAATTTGTCTAGCTGGCTCTGGTGGCCAGGGCCTCGAGGTGTCCCGTCGACTGGTCTGTTCCTATGGGAGCTGACTACAGGCTGGGTTAGGGCTGGGCAGGGGTGCAGGCCCTTGAGGTGTCCCGTCGACTGGTCTGTTCCTATGGGCGCTGACTACGGGCAGGGTTAGGGCTGGGCAGGGGTGCAGGCCCTCGAGAACCTGGGTGGCTGGTGAGGTTGGTGTCTGCTTGGGGATCAGATCCCTTCGCCCTGACGTGCACGGTGCAGGTCTGTTACCTGGATGCTGTGGAAGGTGCGGGGAGAGGGCCGGGCCCCTCCCCTCCCCTGCCTGCACTGCTGACGTTTTCCAAGGGGCAGCTCCATCTTCGCTCTCCTTTCCTCTCCTCCTCAGGCCCCTTTGTCACTTGCTCCCCCTACCTGCTCTCTCTCGAATGACCCGGCCATTCCTGGGGAGAGGGGGAGCAGACCCTGGGAGCTGCACCTTCCTGGGGGACCGTGTCCTCTTGTGGGCTGGTGGTCAGGCCACTGGGGATCGGGTCCTCTGTCCCTGCTGCCCGTGTGTGTGGCCTGCCTGCCGGCCTCCCGGAGCCTTAACTGTCCGTCTGTAAAATGGACACGTGTGTTGGCCCTTCTACGGTGCTGGCGGAAAGGCAGCCCATCTTATTTCAGGGGCGTGTCTACCTGACGGCCCTTCTTCGAAGGCAAGGCCCGTGGCCGGAGCCTCCCCGTGCCCCCTGCCTGGATCAGCGAGGGGCCCGGTTCTCGAGTGTTAGGCTGAAACAGGAGCACAAAGCAGAGGCATGGCTGCTGCTGTCAGGGCTGCGGGGCCCACGCTGGAGAGGAGGGCCGCCCCGGCTTCGTCTCCCGTGCTGAGCGAGCACCGACACGGCCCCTGCTCCGTGCCCCCTCCCCAAGGCCCGCAGGAGCTGGGGGGGCGAGGGCCTCGCTTGCGGGCCCCCCGAGCCTGGCGCGGGATGTTCCGAGCAGTCGTGCCCCGGTGCCTCACAGACGGAGAAATTGCACCCTAGAGTTACAAAGCAGTCGTCTAGCTCAGAGCCGAGTGAGCGTGGTGGGGCAGAAAGCAGCTCAGTAAACCTGGCCCCGGCCGACGCGGAGGAGAGTGGGGACACGCGCACGTGGCGGCCCCGGTGCGCGCACGCTCAGGCGGCTGCAGCCGCGCGCTCGCTCTAGGCCCCGCAGCTGGGCCCTGCCTGCCCCGTGCCTGGCGCCGTCTGTCCTGTGTCCCTACGTCGGTGTGTCCTCTCGTGCCTGGGACCCGCGTCCCTGCGTGAGTGAAGCAAGTGAACGGGGTGGCCACTCAGGGACCCATTTCCTTGGCCTCCAGAAGCCAGGTGGGCCTCCTTGGCCCGCGTCTGTCCCATGTCTCTAAATCTCTTCTGACGTGCCCGGGGCACTGTGCGTCCATCCGAGGACATGATGGCTCCAGTCCCTGGGCGACTGCTGTGTCCCTGCGCCTCGGTTGCTAGGACCTCGTGACAGCCTCGTGGGGCCCACGGAAACGTGAGGTCCGTCGCGGTCTTTGTGCCGCGCTGCGCCTCTGCACGGTCCTGCCTGCTTTCTCTCAGCACCTTGGTGTCCCAGTGGCGGGGCCTGAGCACTAGCAGGGCCAGGACCAGTCCCTGGGGTGGCGCCACTGTCCTCCGACCTCCTGATCGTCAGGTGTGGGTCTGTGCCCCGTCCTGGCTCCCCGGGAGCCCTGTTATGCGTGTCGGGCCCTAGGTGAGGGAACGTTTTGTTCTGGGAGACTTGGTGGAGGTTGAAGCTTCACTGTCCCCGTCTGTCCCCGTTCTGTCCCCGTTCACCCCTCGAAGGTCCTCTGGGGAGTAGAGACCCCGAACCTCCTCCGCGGTTGTCCCCGGCTGGGAGTGGCGCAGGGTTGAGGGTATTACTGATAGACTGGAAAACCACGGGCTGGGTGACAGCTAGAGGCGCAGCCTCAAGACCCCCGTGGCCTGGGGTCCCCGTCCTCGCCCTGCCAGGGCAGAGCTGTCAGGCAGCAAATTCCTGAGGGACCTGGTGGGGGTACTGGGCGAGGACAGCCACACCTGGTCCCCTTATCTTTGCGTTCCCTGTGGGCAGCGCACACGCGTGTACGTGACCACACGCCTCCACGCGTACACGCACACAGGTGCACAGCTGTGAACACACGCACACGTACGAACACACGTGCACACGCGCGCACGGGCGCTCACGCACCCACTCCCACGAGCGCGCGCACACAAACACGCGTGCACGGACACGCGCACGGGCCTGGCCTTCCCAGCTGATTCTAATAAAGTCTCAATGTGCTTTTCCTTAGAAGGACTCGGGCCTGCTGGCTGGCTTCAGTCCCCACGGCGCCCGGGGAACACCTGCCGAGCGCCGGCCGGGCCGGAGCTGGCCGTGAGCGGGAGGGCGGCCGGGCTTCCTGTGGGAGCCAGTCCTGGCGTGGACTCTGAAGCAGAGGCAGGGCTGCGGCAGGTCGGGGGAGGGGCGCTCCGGGTGGAGGGTCAGCTGAGACAGGGCCCAGCAGCCCGTGTGGCCGGAGCTAGGAGAAGCCGTGTTGCGTGAGAGCTGGCCGGTTGACACGGTGACCAGGAGGGGCCCCGGGGCCCTGGGGTCGGAATTAGGCCTCCAGCTATGTGCAGAGGCTGGGCTGGAGGACAAGGGTCCTGGGCGGGCTTGGAGCCCGACGGGGTAGGTGCCCCTGTGAGTAGCTCTGGCTGGGTCTCTCGGCACAGCGGCCTGCACTGGGGGCGGGGACCCCAAGTGGCTTCCTGGGGGGGGGGTCAGGCTGGGCCACTGGGTTGGAGCACGGGGCTGGGAGAGGACCCCCCCCCACCCCCCAACTCCTGCCCGGCCCTGGCTCTTCTCCTGTCCCCTTCTCCTTTCCTGGCCCGTGGGCCCTTGGCCTGTCCTTGGGGACGTGCTCTCCACCCCATGGGCCCCCCATTACATCAACCGAGACGTTCCAGGACCTGGGGCGCTAGTGGCTTCAGCGAGGGGGACTGGGGTCTCTGGGAAAGGTGATGGAACAGTCTGGAAGTCAAGAGGGCTGAGCCCAATCCCGGAAGGACGTGTCGGGCCCAGAGCACCAAAGTTGGGGGATGGGCTATCTGTGCCGGGGCAGGGCGACTGGGCCTCCTGGGGTCAGAGCAAGGACTCGAGGACCAAGGTGGGGACTGACCTTGGGGCTGGGAAATGGGATGTTGGGGGGCCTTGTGGGGCTGGAGCCACTGAGGGCCTCGGTGTGAGTTGTTGCCCTGGGGTCCCTCCTCGTGAGATGTTCACGGCTGGCCCTTGGTCCCAAGTTCCTGAGACAGGTGTGGGGCGCGCCGTCAGTTGGGGCTGGGGACACAAAGAGGAGCCCTTGGTCTGCTTCCCGGTGACCCAGAGCCTGGCCCCGGCACCCCTGCGCCTCCGTGGGCTCATCTGAGCAACAGTGGTGTCTCGCCGTGCCTCGGTTTCTCTGGCTGTGCCCAGGGTGCGGGGCTGGTGGTGATGGGTCTCAGCAGAGGCCGCGGCCGTCCTGAGTCTGGAGGCTCCGGCGCGGAGGGGAGGAGATGGAGGGGAGAGCAGGTTGGGCCCGGGCCAGCCGTGTGTAAATCCTGCAGTGGCCATGGATAAACCCCGCGGAGTTCAAAGCCGGCCCCGGGTGCGGCCGCTGGGCTGTAATGAGGTTACTGATTCAACTGGCTTCCTGGTGCTGCGGCCCAGAACCGAGGGGGGCTGGGGAGCCCCGGGGAGGGATCTAAGTGTCCCGTAATTGACCAATTTAGCGTAAGTGTCCGCACTGGCCCTGGGCAGAGGTCAGGTGGTGACAGCCCAGGTGGCCGGAGTCGCCGCACTCACAGGCTCTCTGCCTGGCCCTCTGGAGAAGGCGCCGTCGGGCGGCTGGCCCCGAGCGCCTCCCTGGAGGTCCCTGTCCCGGTCCCCTCCCTCCGGTCTGCGGGGCCGTGTCCTCCGGCAGCCTGAGTGCTTTTCCTGCCAGAGCCGGCCAGGCTGTGCGCGGTCTTTCGCTTGTGAGCCGGCCGAGTAAAGTGCGGGGCGGTGGGCTCAGTTCTGGACTGGGTGCCGGGCTACCCGGGTTCAGCTCCGCCGCTTCTCATTCGGACGCGGGGTGACGACGCAGCCTTGTAGGGACACGGGAGGGTCAGCCAAGGGGGTGCTCACGGTGGGCTCCAAGCCGTCCAGGAAAGCGCCCGTGATCGAGGAGTGGGGTGGAGGTGACCCACGACCGCACGCCATGGAGGATGCGCCTGGGGCTCTGGCGAGGGGCTGGTGGTCCAGCCCGGCCCCCGCTCTCCAGGAGACGCAGGCCTCCTGTCCGGAGAACCCACCTTGCTGGCTGCTTGGCCCTCAGAGGCCGGGCCCGGCGTGGGGCGGCACTGGGCCGCGGTGGCAGGGCGGTGGCCTGGGCTGAGTGCCCTCCATGTGGACAGGCCCTGGGGTGGGGCTGTTGTGTCCACATTTTGGGGATGAGGGCTTCAGTCTTGGGGAGCCTGAAGGATGTGCCCGAGGTGCCCTGGCTGGGTACCCCCGCGACCCGGCTTCATCCAGAGCAGCTTCAGGGTGCCCTCAGCAGAGGCTGTCCCTGCTGCTCCCAGGAGAGACCTGTATGGTTGAGCTCTTGGGATGTCCCCTGAACCCCCTTGTCTTGCCCCACCTGGGCAGGCTGGTGGTCACCCCTCCCCTGCCTCCGGGCGGCAGGAGGGCCCCTCCCCCTGCAGGGCTGCAGCCCAGGGTTGGGTGGACGGTCCAGTTGGCTCTCTGAGCAGCTCGCTGCATGCCCGGGCAGGTCCCTTCTCCCTGCGGGCCTCGGTTTCCCTGGGGCCCTCTGGCTACCAGAGGCCTCTGCTCCTCCCTTCCTTGGCCCTGTTCCCCTGAGCTGGTGGCCTTGCAGTTGGGGTGGCAGAGCTGGGGATCCCCTCCTCAGGAAGTGGCCTCCTCCGTTGAGGGGACAGGATCTGAGCTGTGGGAGGTAGGAAGTCAGCTGCGGTGGGGAGTATGGTCAGTCCCGCCGGGTCCAGCTCTGGCTTTCACCTGGGAGTGTTACGGTGAGATGGTTTGGAGGTAAAGCAGCATGTCAGGGGGGAATAATCTTACTGATGGGGGCTGGGCAGAGCGGGGGCAGGGGAGCTGCAGGTGCTGTCACGCCAGCCACCACCCAAGGCCGGGCTGGCCCCTTCTCTCCTTGGGCCCTGACATCCCCAACCTGGAATTCTCCGCGGGCCCCCATTGCCCCAGTGTGGAGCTCAGGCCTCTGCTCAGTGTCACGTGGCCCTCCAGCCTCTCCGTCCGCATCAGGCACCGCTCACGCTGCTTTCTGGCTTTCTTGTGTTCAAAGCGTGCTGGTGTGATGAATGAGTACCCGCTCTGAGCTGGGGGCCGTGTGGCCCTGGGCTGGCAAATTTACTTTTCTGGGTCTCAGTTGCTCCACCTGTAAATTGCCTGGGGAAGTCAGGGAGGCTTCAAAGAGGAGGTGATGTTGTAGTTAGGTTTTATGGGATGAATAAGAGTTTGTTGGGTGGGCAGTCCCTGGAGGATTTCAGAAGGATCCAGCTGCACGGCCAGGCTCCTCTGCCTGGCCCCCTGATGGCTGGTTGCCGGTCTGTGCTGGTGAGGACCCGCGGGAGTGTGAGGGGTGTGGTCAGCTGCTCTGGGAGTGATTAACCTTGGGAGGAGGTAAGGCTGGGAGTGGGCCTGGCCGCGACCTGGCCACCCCCAGCCTGGCGGCAGGCAGCCCCTCTGAGCCCGATGTCTGCGGGCCCGATGTCCCCTCTGCTTCCCGGGCCCTGGGATGTCCTGGTCTGGAGCCTGGCCCACGCCGGCCCACCTCGTGTTCTTACGCCAGCTCGGAGCTCTGGCTCCTGGGCGGAGTGGCCAGAGTCGGGCCCCTCTCTGGGTGGAGCAGCTGGGGGTCCTTTCCCCACCCGCCTGTCTGTCCCCACATCCCTTGGTCCGTCTCCGAAGCGCCCCTGCCCCCTCGTGGAGCCTCCTGCAGGAGTGCTGGGCCGCCTGGTGGTTCCTCGATTCACCCCCTTCTTGCCTGGATTGAGAGAAATGGCTCTTACTGGGGCCAGAGTCCACAGGAGGTGGCGGAGCTGCCCCCGCCCCGCCCCTGCTCCTGGACTTTCTGCCCAGGATCAAGGTCAGGAGGAGGGCTAGGAGGTGGGGGCCTTGGGCCGTGAGTGCCAGGCCACTCTGAGCTCAGACGGTGGCGAGGTGGGCCACAGCCTGGGGTGGGGCGGGGCGGCACTGGTGGCCACCTTCCTGGGTCCAGCTGGAGGGGTGCGGACAGCAGGGAGGGGAGCCAGGGCCTTCCCCCTTCCCTGCTCTGTCTCCCTGGGCAAAGGTCGGGGCGCCAGCCTCTGCCCCCAAGAGGCTGATCCCTGCAGACCGCTGACGGGGGATGGGTGGCCCGCTCAGAGCCCCTGGCCTGCACCTTCCGGCTCTGCCACATGCACTTTGTGACTTGGAGCACGTTACTTCCTCCCTGTTTATCTCGGTTTCCTCATTTGTGAAATGGAAGGAAGGATGTTGGGCCGAGTCGGAGGTGGGAAGTACAGGGCTGGCACGCCGCCGCTCCACGGCCGGGACCCTTGGCAGGCACTGCCAGTTGGGCGCGGCTCTTTCCCCGCGGGGCCTGAGACCGCCGAGCACCCCTGCCCACCAATGGGCTTGGCTCGCAGGTCTAGTTGGCTGCCGAGCGCACGGCACCAGGCGCTGCACCAGCCTCAGCAAGTGTTTGTTGACTGAATGAGTGCTTTCTGCAAATGTCTCCCCCACCCCCTCCACTTGAGAAACGTCACGGGGGGGGGGAGCCCACCCCTTGCAAAGTGACTTTGAAAGGCATCATTGTTTGAATCACCCTTCTTCTGGGGGTCCGTCCCAACTTTCCAGGGAGGGAAGTCCTGCTGTGTGTCTACCCTGGTGCTGATTCCTGGGCGTGGAGCAGGGAGAGCCTGGAGCCATCGACGGAGACCCTGCCCTGGAGGATCCCTGGGCCCAGATGGCAGCTGGAAGCCCTCGGGGAGCCTGAGGCCAGGGTTGCAACCGTGGGTTTCCCCGTCCAGGGCTGAGCCCCCACCCTCTCTGCTCTGCGTGCTTCAGATGCAGCTGCCACCTGCTGCTGGACGGGACCTGGGCGTCCCGTGGACTCAGCGCCCGGATGCAGCATGGGGGGTCCTCAGCCCCAGATGACTGCCTGTGTCGAGACGTGGTTCCTTCCTCTGCTGCTTAGTATGTCTTGTTGAAGCTTGGCCGGTGGGGTGAGAGGGTAGAAATCAAAGCCTGGCCGAGAGGTTCAGAGCAAAACTCCCACCTGCCAGCCGTCTGTTCGTGCCTCTGTCCGTCTGACTGGCTGTCTGTCTGCAGACGCCTGGACCTGCTGGTCCCTGCGGAGGCAGCATTGAGTGAGGCTCCGCCCCCAAGATGCTGAGTGGTGCCTGGGGTCATAGGGACTGGCGTGGACTGCCGCCACACTACCACTCGTGTCACCTTGGGCCAGAGTTTTAAAACCTCTCTGGGCCTCAGTTTTCTTATCTGTAAAGTGGGGCTGATAGTGTGCGTCAGGGTAGGTCACTCGTGGTTGACCAGTTTGGTCATGCCTGCTTTCACTGTGGGGGAGGGGACAGTGTGAGTGTGGCGCTGGGAGGACTACTGGGAGCGGGGCAGGCACAGGAGAAGGGTCATCAGCTTGCCCTGCTGTTCAGTGGGCTGGGCCGTCTGAATTGGGTTGTGAGGGATGCATAGGAGTTTGCCTGGGAGAAGTCAGTTTCTGCGTCCTCGGATCCGCACGTCAGTGTTGTCCGTCTGAGGCCTCCCACTCAGAGTTCCTTGAATCTACCTGTGTGGCTGGAGCCGAGCCCGTGAGGGGCAAGGGTAGAGACGGAATCAGCACGGAGAAGCCTGTGGAACCCCTGCCCCGGGGAGGTGGAGCCACTGGAGGGTCCCGGGCCAGGGAGGGTGGCGTCTGGCCTGTGCTTGGTAGGAGGCTCTGCTGCTCTGTGAGAAGCGGGGGGCAGAGGGCAGGGCGGGGGAGTGGTAACGAGGCAGAAGTGGTCTGGGGCTTTTGGCCTGAGCACAGGAAGGGTGATGTGCCTTTTACCAGTTGAGGAAAACTCTAGAGGAAGGTCTGGGGGGGCAATCAGGACTTCGGTGTAGGATGCAGCCTGACACCTGGGCCCAGGCAGCTGGGCAGTCTGGAGCACGCGCCTTAGGTTCCCACGGCCTGGCTGGCGGTCCCAGCTTAGTTCCGCAGGTGTAGACGGGGCTTATGGGAGCCTGGGTGCCTGAGAGTATGGGAGATGCTGCAGGCAGAGTGCACAGCCCAGCCCGAGATGTCCAAGGCCTCTCTGGGCTTCCCTCCCAGGCTGGAAGGTGGGCAGGCGTGCGGGCACAGCCGCCGGCCTGGGACAGGCTGCCACTGGGCGCTGGCTCCCTGCCGACTTATTCCTGGCTCCCATGGCTGGCGTGGGATGGGATTTATAAAAAGGAAACGCCGTGGTGCTCAGAGGGCCTCCTCTGCCGGGGTGCGATCCGGCTGCAGGACCGCGGGCAGCTCTGGTTCTAGGTTGACCACCCCCCGGTCCAGGTGCTGCCCCTCCGACCCCGGCTGGCACCCTCCCCACCCCAAGTCCCAGGGCCACGGGGCAAGGTCGCAGCTCCCGGTGCCCTCGCTGGCTGCAGGCCTCGGAGAGGTGTGCTCCCCGCGTGTGTCTCCCGGCTGCAGCAGCCGCCCTGCCCGCACCTCTTTGCCGAGACGTATCTGCTTGTGGACAGTTATTGTGTCTCCTCGTTGGGCAGTGGGGATGCTCTCATGGCCGGCTACCGGAGGGGGGAGGGGATGGCTCCCGAGCCCGCACTGGTCCTGCACGTGGCTGATAAGCTGTGGAGCTCGTTATTGGAGGGGCAGCCGGGGCCCCCCACCCCCTCGGCCGTCATGTCCGTCCTGCATCGAGGCCAGGCCTTGCGCTCTGCCCGGGCCCCTGGGCGAGGGGAGGGGGCAGGCAGATCATGGCCTTGGGGGAGTGAACGGGCCTCGTGGGGACCTGGGGGTCTCAGGGAATCCCTCCCGGGCTCTGGAGATGGCCTGCCCCGGACCTCCCTCCACTGCTGACCCTCAGCCCCTCTTGGTGGCTGGCCCTGCACGCACACGCACACGCACACGCACACGCGCACACGCGCACACACGCACACGCACACGCGCACACGCACACGCACACACACGCGCGCACACACGCACACGCACACACACGCACGCGCACACACACCCCCTGCCTGGTTTCTTAAATGACCGTCGTCACTCCTGTCGTATCCCTGGCTGTCTGGACTCCTCGCTCCGTGCTTGGTGGCCGCTGGCCCACGCGCCTATATTGGGTGGGCTGCTGGCGTCCCTGACCTCGGGCTTGGCCCCCAGGACCTGGAGGCCAGAGGGCCCAGGGTCTGCTCTCTTGTCCTGTGCTCTCACCCGTGGAACCCCCAGCTCGGGCTCTCCGGCCAGCTCAGAGGGTCTGTGGGCCGGAGGGGGCTGGGCAGCAAGGCCAGGACTGGGAGTGGCGTGTGCTGCCCCCCACCCCCACCCTCAGGGACCCCATCCTCCCCAGACCCTCCTTGGGGACTTGGAACCAGAACCACGTGGGGTGCAGAGGTCGGGCAGGGTCACTGGACCGGTGTTGGATCAGACCAGCCATGTCACCCCCAGACCTCCCCAGCCAGTCCCCCAGGGCTCACCCCAGTTCCCTGGCCTGGGCGAGGGGTTAGACGAACGTCAGACCCAGTGGTGGGGGCCGAAGGGGCCGCGGGAGCGACAAGGCTTTCTGAAGAGGTGCACGGTGGGTGGGGGCGCTTGTCCGCGGCTGGTGTCCCACTGCCCCGGGCCCGGGCTGCGCAGCATCACTGATGGTCTGCAGCTCTCTCGAGCCCTTGCAGTGGGCGCCCTCGGCAGACGTGGCCGATCGATGAGCGTTGATCCGGCAAGTGCCTCCCTGAACGGAGCGGGCGGTGGAGGGTCCTTGCCCGCCAAGGGGGGGGCGGGGCGGGTGGTGGGATGTGTGAGCCGCAGCCTGGCCCTCTGGCCGGGGTGCCTTCTCTTCTGTGGGGTTCTGCACCCTGGGAGAATGAGCCGGTTTTGAAGCCAGGGTCAGTCATGCATACTTTAGTGAGAATGAGCCTAATGCCAACCCTGGAAAGGACCCGCAGGAAAGGATGAGAAGGAAGACTTCCTCTAATTGTGTGGATACGGAAATGGAGCTCTGGGCTGCGCGGAGGGCCAGGTCTGGTCCTCTCTGTAGTCTGGTGCTCTTATCTCCTGACTGCCCACCTCGGGGCAGATGGGGAGGGTCCCAGAGGGGAACCTGGCAGAGGAGGTGGTGGGCCGGTGTTGCCGGAGCCTCGGGCAGGGCAGGGTGGGGGTCTGCAGCCCTGGGAGGGGGCCCAGCTCCCTGCCCAGGGTCCCACAGTTGATGAGTGTCAGAGCTGAGATTTGAACCCGGCTCTCGGGATCCTTCTCAGAGGCACTTCCTGCCCAGGGAGCACAGCTTAAGTCCTGGGAGGAGGGGGGATGTGGGGAGAGACATTCCTCGTCCGGGAGGGGCCCAGAGCTGAGCCCGCCCTGCTGGGCCGGGAGATGCAGTGTTTCCTACACAAACAACCAGGGCTGGCTGGAGCAATTTTATTTTTATTTCCTATTTTTACTTCCCCGTTGGCTCTTTTTAGCAGCTCTGGGTTAGATAGGCCCACGCCCTCCAGTCTACACCCGGCTTCCTGGCTCGGGCCTGGGGCCTTGGGGAAGCCAAGCGTGTGTGCAAGACCCCGGTTTAGCAGTGTGGCTTGCACACCCTCGGTGGCAGGGAGCTCACTCTCTCCCCAGGTATAGAGTTCTGCAGGGTGGCCCCTTTCCATCCCCTGGGACCAGCTGTGGGGAGTGTGTGGTGGCAGTGCCCCAGCTCATGACTCAGTTTCCTCCCATTCTCGCCTGGTTCTCCGCTGGAAGTTGAGGTTGGGGGTGAAACCTCATGACAGAGGAGAAAGGGTGACCGGTGTGGGTGTATCTGCTGGGTGGGGTGGGTCAGGGACATGAGGGTAAATAAATACTCAGTGTTTCTGCCTCTGACTGGCCGGGCAGGGTGCCCCGAGGGGAGGGCTGGGCTTGGCCTCATTCAGACTGTATCTGCCGCGGGCCCAGGCCCGACCCTCTGAGGGACCAGCTGTGCCAAGGGGTCGGCCAAGCCCGCCTCCGGGCCGGGGTGGGGGTGGGATGTTGGAGGGTCTGGCCCGCAAGGTCTTCCTGGGACGGGTGCTGCTGGCTGCGGGGGACGTGGAAACCCCAGGTTGGGGGCGTCTCCCCGAGGGCTTATGACCCGGCCTGGGGCGAAGGGGCCCTCGCCTGCCTGCGTGGGCACGGCTGGGCCCTGTGCTAGCATTTGGCGGTTGGGGGTCCTGACCTTGGGGGTCAGGCCCGCCGTGAACTCCCAGGCCTGGGTGGGGCTGGGGTTCAGGTGGAGGGCGAGGGGGCTGCGGTCTACCAAGTGGCCTGGTGCCAGCCTGTGCCCAGCCCACTGCACTCTCCCTTTGCAGGCGAGGCCCGGGTTCAGAGGCCCAGCAGATCCTCGAGGCCACACAGACTGTGGGCGTGGGGCCGCCAACCCCGTGTGTTTTGGGGTGCAGAGAACCAGGGCGCCGCTGCCGAGGCCCCGCAGGTGCCAGGGCCCCAGAGCCGGAGCCGGGAACGCGGCGTCTTGCTGTCTGCCCCAGGCCGTCAGTGGGGAGGGGCTGGGCAGGACTGGCCCAGCCATTATGGCCAAGGGGCAGGGTGTATCCCGGACCTGCTGCGGGCCTGAGCACTTGGTGAGGGGCTGTGAGGTCAGAGTAGAAGGCCCACGTGGTCCTGACGTTGGGGGCTGCTTGCCGGGATGGGGACGTGGGACACAGATGTTTTCCACGCAGACAGGTCCATCTCACCAGCGCTCATAGTGTCCACGTCAGAGCACGGACCAGTGAGTCTGCGTGAGACCCCAGCGTGCCGCTGGCACCTGAGGACACAGGGCTCTGCGGTCAGGAGGGCTGCCCAGGTGAGTGGCGATGGACGAAGGACACACGCTCGGTGGGAAGGCCGGGGCCCGGCCCCGTCCTCCTCGGCACTAAGGTGCCCGCTCTGTGCCCGTCACCCCACCTGTTGGCAGTAAGGCAGGTGCCAAGCAGCTGGTTGATCCTGGACTCTGTCCTGCTGAGCCCCACTGGTACCTGGGACCCTCTGCCACCCCGTAGGTGCTGGGTGGGCTTCCCAGGCTGGCATGGGCAGCCCCAGCAGTGCCCAGACGGACCTGGTAGGTCTGGGATTCTGACTTGAGGGCCCGGTGGAGGGCGCTGAGGGAGGAGCCAGTCCGGCCTCTCTCCTGGCCCTTCCCGCCCTGGCTGGCCCAGCCAGACTCAGCCGTGGCTGTTGCCCTGTGCCGAGGTGGCCTCTCCTTCTGGCGTGCACGTGTGGCTGCCAGGATTGTGGGGAATCTCTTGATTAGAGGACAGAAAACCGAATCCCGTGGCCCAGGCGGGGGTGGGGGGACACTTCCTCCCTGGAGAGGCCCTAGAGATTATGGGATTTCTACCCGCCCCGCCCTGGGGAGGTGGCATGGGCAGAGCGCCATCTGGCTGGTGGGGCTGCCTTGTCACTGCTCTGGTGAGGGGTTCCTTCTATGAGCCTGGGAAGCCACGTGTGGGCTGGGTGGCCCTGGCGTGCTGCGGGGGGAGGACTCACGTGCCTGGTTCGGGTCCCCGCTCAGCCCTTCGCAGCTGTGTGACCTGGGGCAGCATCTCATTCTCTGAGCCTGGACTTTGTCATCTGTGGAGTGGGGTGATGACACTTACTTCTAGGGTGGTCGTGAGGGTGAACTTAAGGAGGGTCGGAACTTTAGTTCTCGCCGGGGAGCAGGGAAGAGCAGTGGCTGGGGGCCTCCCTGACCCTCAGTGTCTGCATCTGCAGGCTGGGGAGAGGAGTTTCTTGCTCTGGTGCTGGGGGGGCCTGTGAAGGGCTGCCCCTCAGTGCTCTGCGGCACCCAGTGATGGGCTGGGCCATGGGGGGAGATGCGGGAGTTCTCCCCTGGGAGGAAGTGCTTCCCTGGGAGGGGCGGTTTCAGGGACCGCTGGTTCCAGAACCTTCTGGGGCCCAGGGATCTCCCAGGGCCAGGAAGCGAGAGCCGTTGCCAGGTGCAGCCTTGACGTGGACTTGGGGCTTAAGTCCCTTGTCCAGTCCCCACTGGCCTTTCCCTGCTTAGTGTCCTGGGCAGGGAAGTGTGTTCAGGTGGGTGGCTCTCTGGTGGGTGGGCTCGGGGGCCCGGCGCCCCAGCCCCAGCCCCAGCGAGCACGGCCCCAAGCCGTGGAAGGGTGTGATTCCGGGTTTGCTTCTTCCTTCAAGCAAAGAGGATCTTTCGAAACTGTGGGAAAGAGCATTTCCTCCCCAAAGCCGGGTGCGGGCGGGGGCTCGGTCAGCAGATGTGACGTCCCCGGCTCCCTCTTGCCCTTCTGCCCTCCTGCCTGCGACACTCACGGGCCCATCGCCGGCCCTCGTGGCCCCACCAGAGTGGGGTGCTCAGGCCTGTCAGCTCTCCCCGCAGACCTGGCAGTCTTCTCCCTCTGGGGTCCCGCTGGCGGAGCAGAGCCCCGAGAGGTCCCTGCTGGGCCGCGCCGTCTGTGTCCCCACCTCTGAGCCTTCGCGCGTGCTGTTCCCTCTGCCTGGCGGGCCCGCCCTGCCCCTGCTCCGGTTCTTTGTCCCAGCAGCCTGCTTCCAGTGCCACCCCACCTTGAAACAGTCCCCAGGCCTGCGCCCGACGTCCCTGCCTTCTGAGGGTCCCTGCTCCGTGCCCCAGGAGGGGATCTGGCCAAGCGTGGACGAGCCCACCCTGTCCTGCCCCAGGCCTCCGTGTCCCCGGCCCCAAGTGGGTCCCTTCCAGTGTTGACAAGTGAGGATGCTGTGGCTTACGTCCCGGCGAGGGGGTGCTGGGGCCGGGAGGGCCCGGGAGCTGGCCGTCTGAGCTCCGGTCTGGCCCGGGGGTGGGGGGGGGGCTGGGCGCCAGCGTGCTCAGCTGCCTGCCTGCGCTGCTGGAAGGGGGTGTGATTTGGGTCTCCCCCGCCCCCGCCCCGGGCTTCTGACTCAGCAGCTTCAGGGTGGGGGAGACCGGATCTCTCGATAGAAACCCCGACCCGGGGCACCCATGGCCCAGATTTCTTTTGTGAAGGTGGGAAGTCGAGCCCTAGGTTCCTGCCCGGCTTCCCGGCAGGAGATTGGGTTGGGCTGGAGCCAGCTCTGGGCTCCGGGGCCCACTGCTCCCCTGGCTCCTGGCCTACCTCCCTGCCCTGCTGGACTGCCCTTTCCCCTGTGCACCACCCTCTGTGGCTCCCCAGTGCCCGCGGGATGAAGCTCTCACTGCCTCCCAGCCCTGCTCTCCTCTGCCCTCCCTGCGCCCCTTTGTCCTCAGGAGCTACGCCTGCTCCCTCCTCTGGGTCCTGCCCATGCCGCCCCTTCACCCTCCAGCTTCCTGCTCTGCCAGGTGTCTGCATATATTAGGCCTCCTTCTGGACGCTCCCCTGGGGTTAGGTCCTCTCCACCCCACAGCCACAGTGCCCGCTGTCCCGTCGCCCTGCAGGCAGTGATGGATGTGGGCTTAGAGCCCTCATCAGCGTCAGCGCTGGCCCCGTGGTCAGACACTGGATGTGGCGTTGGGGCGAGCGGGGGGGCGATGCCAGCCGCGGAGGGTGGGCCTGCCTCCTGGGGCTCTGGGCCGTGTGGAGAGTTGGGGTCTGGCGTTCACGGGGCCTGTTGCTTAGGCTGCTTGAACAGGAGGGCTCTCCGCCCCGGTAGAGCATTTGGTGGTTCCTCTTTGCCTGGAAGATGGAAGCGGATGCGCCCCAGCGGGTGAGCGCCCAGTCTTGGCAGGGCCTTGGGCAGAGGCCTCGGTCTCCTTACCTGTCAGGTGGGGATAACTACTCCCGCTGGGGTCCCAGAGCTGAGGTTCTGCCCAAGGAATGGGGCTGCTGGGAAGGATGTTGAAAGTTTGGGCCAAACCTGGAGATGGGATTTTCATGTCCCCTGGGCCGTCAGCGGTGGGGGCACCTGATAGGCTCAGGGCCCTTCCAGCCATGCCCCGGGGCCAGAATGGAGCTGGCCAGCCAGGGGGGTTGGCTCCTGGGGTCGAGAAGCCATTGTCCCTGCCTCAGTCGCCACCCGCAGGCAGCGGCCAGGGCCACGGGCTTGGGTCTGTTGGGGAGGCATCTCTGTTGCTCTGATGTGTCAGTGTCTGATAACAGCTCTGGTGTCCCCCCACCCTACTCTGCCACCCCCGGCAGTCGCCTGCTTGACCCCTTGAGGTATTTGTGAAACATCAGCTAGGAAAGGCTCTCCCCCCGCAGCGGGGAGGGCAAGGCGGGAGAGAACAATTGGAGCTGAAATTAATTGTGCTGTGCGCTTTTCCTCCTGTCCCCTCTCTCTGCTCGCTCGCTGTCAATGCATAATGCATGATGAGGGGAAGTGAAAAGTAATTAGAGACTCGACTCTCGGCCAGGTTCATTCATGACTAAATCTGGGTCAACTCCTGGCACAGATGAGCGCACCGCGTGGTGTGATGGTGGCAGTGGTGCCGCACCTGCTTGGCGGGCTGTGCTCAGACGCCCCTTCCTATGGGAAGCCCTCCTTGATGCCCCCCGTAGGAGGGCCTCCCCCACACCCACGGCCCCGTGCCTTGTGCATCCGATGGTGTCTTTTCCCCACCTGCCCTGTAGGGACCGTGTTGCCAATAGGGGGCGGCGGCTTGTCGGGGTGGGGCACGTGGGGGTGACACCCAGGGTGATGTGATGGCGTCGGGCCACACAGCGTCTCCTTGAGGTGCTTTTTGCTCACTCGTTCTGAAGCACTTGACCCTGATCACGCTGTGGTCTTTATGCCCCTCCCACGCTGCCGTGGTCCTCAGGGTGAAGTCCCAGCCCCGGGCCTGTCTCTCATTTCTTCCCCCCGGGGGACCAGCTGTACCGATCTGCTTCCTGTTGCTAGAATGTTCCCAGCCCTTCCCCTGCGCACAGCCTTTGCACATGCTGTTCCTGCCTCGGAGTGCCCTTCCCCGGGTCGCCCTGCAGCCACCGTTGCTCCTTCCGGTCTCGCGTGGGTGTCGCCCCCGTGGATCCCCGGGCTGCCGTGGCCTTGGTTCCCCCCACTGTCACCCTTGGCCACCTGAGCCTGTTCTTTCCTCCTGAGGCCCTGTGCATCCTGCAAGCGACTAGCTGGCAGGGCTCCTGTCTGTCCCCTGACGGGGGCACGCGCGCTGGGGCTTCGGGGTTCCCAGGGGCTGTGGGACCTGCCCAACTCCTGGCGCCCCCTCCCCAGGCCTTCAGCGCAGGGGGTGAAGGAAGAAGGTGGCTGGGGACAGGGCTGGGCTGCCCAGGGACAGCCCCCACTGCCGCTGCCCCTCCCCCTGCCGCCTGCCCGCAGGCTTGCCATGGTGGGAGGTCTCGGGGCCTCCCCATTGGGACGGTGTCAGGGCGGGGTCATAGCTGGGCCTGCGAGACCCCATGTCATAGGGGGGAAAACAGGTCCGAGGGGGAGGTGCTTTGCCTGACTCAAGGTCACTGTGGGAGGCGGAGGAGGTACTGCCTCTTGGCTGCACTGGCCAGAGCTGGGCCCTGGGAGAGGACCTTGGCTATGGGGGCGGGCCCTGTGCTGGGGGGGAGGGCCCTGTGCTGGGGGGAGGGCCCTGTGCTGGGGGGGGGGGG